TGTTGAATTGTATTTCTAAGAAAATGATTAACCATGAAATCAACCTGATGCTTGCACAATTTTGTTCTGTAACTTGTATAAAATCTGATGCTCCACTTTAGAAAATTAGATTCAGATCATCAACCATCTCTTGTGTTGTGTCTGTCACTCGCTGAATCCTTGCGCACTCTCCGATTCCCTGTTCCCATCGGACTGAGTGCTCCGTTGCAAAATTTTATTTTAATATTTTAGCACTGAGAGGGAATGAATGAGTTAATTTTTTTTTCTTTATCACTCAGCAAAAGTAATTGACATTTCCTGTGCGTGACTAATCAGCCAAAAGCACACAGACTGGAGATGAAGATAAACGAAGAAGAAAAATCATACCACATCTGTTGGACTGAGCATAAAGTAAGGTGACCTAGGAGGACAGTCACGGAGTCATCCATTGACGTCTGTTGACAAGCAAGAAACCACTCCAGATGGGTGCCTTGGGGAGAACTTCGGCTTTAGCCTTACTGACCTCCGTTACTCTCTTGGTGCCTGGTAAGTCAGATACTTTGATAATTTTAGAAGAAAATAAAACTATCTTTCGAAAGTGACTAGGATACTCTTGACTCAGTCATAGTATGTGTTTTTGTTTTGTCCTAATAACAACGATACATTTGTGGATTATCTAGAAAAAAAAATCCTTCTTGATTTATCTGATCCCAATGATGCTTTGTGACTGACTAGTAGAATCCAGGGCAACATCAGGGGCCGGGAGTGGACAGAAACTAAACTTCTGTTGTTGAATAAAATGCACTGTTTCTCTAAACTTTCGGAAAGGCCTTTTATTTTTTACTGTCTCATTTGAATTTTATTTTTTTAGACTCTGATGGTTATTGAAGTGTAATTGTTTTCTGTTTTATTTGGAATTTAATATTTCTCCAATGCCAATATTTTCAGCACTGAACATATGGGAAAAATCTGTATTTTTATTTGAACACCAATTTAAAAAAATAGAGGCAAGAAACATAGGACACAATTTTGTTTTCAGAAAATGAGGGAACATAAGAATATACAGATCATAAATAATCTAAGTCAATGATTGTAGGCTCCCCGTAGAACTGTTTATATGGAGAGTCTGTCAAAAGCATAAATTTTTCCAGGTGTGGTGGCTCACAACTTTAATCCCGGAACTTGGGACACAGGAGGATCTCTGTGAAACTGAGGCCAGCCTGTTTGTCTACATAGCAAGTTCCAGGCCCGGTTAAGGCTGCAGGGAGATCCTGTCTGAAAAAAAGAAAAAAAAAAGTATAAATTTTAGAACGTGAATGAGTAATGGGTGGTTAATACCAAAGTGAGTTCCAGACCCTCTTTTCCTTTCTTGTACTGATGTCCGAAGTTCCACAACATTCTGGGAAACACTGGCTGGCATCCACGTTTCCATATTAAGTCAAGGTAAGAACTGGACACAATGCACTCTATTTTTGGTCAGAGCAAAGCAAATAAGTGTAACCAGAATATAAAAGAATAGAGAAAGATGTGGCTTGTGTGGTGCATATCTTTAACCCCAGCACTCAGGAGGGAGAGGCAGGTAGATCTCTGTGAGTATGAAGCCAGTTGGTCTACATAATGAGTTCTAGGCCTACATAATGAGACCCTGTCTAAAAAGAAAAAGAAAAAAAAAAAAGAATATAGAAAGACCCTTTTCCTTACCTGCAGAAGGTAAGGAAAACAGTGGAATTGTTTGTTAAGTAGTGCCTTCCTCAAAGTAAGCATGGAGCTTTTGTTCAGGCGGCCTACAGATATCCACATAAGAAAACACTTTACGAGGAGGCACATTGCTGAGCAAGCATGCTCAGTCTAAGATGCATGTACGATGGCAGGCAAGGTGATACACACCTTTCATCTCAGCATTTGGGAGATGGAGGCAGGGGCACAAGGAGCTTATGCTTATCCTCCGCTATATACTGCCTTCAGTTTGAGGGCAGCCCGAGTTCCATGAAACTTGCCACAAAAACAAAACAGAAACAAAATAAAAAAGAACAGAAAAATATGTGTATTACTGATTTATATGTTCAGTTGAGGTCATAGTTCAGGAAGGAAAAAAAAATGGCAGACACATTCCTGAACATGCTTTGCTCATGACCATAGAGCACATGTTCGGAAGGTTACAGTGGTGGACTGGAACATTCTGGAATGCTCAGCTTATATCATAAAGGTGGCTCTGGATAAGTTAGCTTCTTCTTCCCCACAAATGTTTTAGCTGAAACCAAAGGAAAGGATAATTTAGAAGGTATAGTTATAGAGGAGTTACCCCTAAGTGTCCCTGCCTCACCTAGATGCTAGTGATAGTTACTCATCCAGATGAATTGTATCTATCAGGTTACTATTTATTATCTGTCTCACTGCTTGCTGTTCTTGTCCCTCTTGCCTTCTTTTGAGCTAACAAATATATATTTTTCATTATTTAGAGAATATTTCATTAGTTTCTTTAATAAAATCTATATAGATAAGACCTTATTAAAGATAAGACCATATTAAATATGGTGTGGTCCTCATATACAAACGGAAAAAATAAGTTTAAGGTTTCTAGACAAATACTGCTATTAATTTCTGTATGATGGCATGAAAACTGAGACACTTTTTCAAAAGTTGACAGTACAAGTAAAGCTCAGTGATCATTGTGGATGAGGGGGCAGAAAGATTGTAAGAACCAGAGGTGGTGGATGATCACAGGAAACAAAGTTTCCCAGACAGCTGGTCAGTTACTCATATGAACTCACAGCAATGGTGACAGCATGCAGAAATCCCACATAAGCTCAAGCCAGACAAAATCCCAGCATAGACATGGGGAAGTGGGTAAGAAACTTCAGTCCTACCTGAGGAAGTATTGGCAACTAGTAGCTTCTGGAAGGGAGAGAGTCAGTTTCATTTAATGGTGAGACTCTTTGTGGATTGCAGTAGTTCATCACATGCTTTACAAAAGCAGAGATTATGAGAAGGAATTAGAAAACCCTGAGGCCCAAGTTCATCTCAGTAGTGCCTGCCTACTAAGGAAACTGAGGCAAGAGGTGCCTGCCTGGGAGTTTGAGGACTGATGCTTGTCTGGAGGTTTGAAGACTGATGCTTAAGCCTGGGAGTTTGAGGCCACCCTTAGCAATTGTTCTAGTGTGCTTTTGATGCTGTATAAACAACCTGGGGAAGAAGGAGTTTATTTCACCTTACACTTCCAGGTCACCATCCATTATTGAGGAAAGTTAGGGCAGGAACTCAAGGCAAAAGCCTGGACTCAGGCACTGAAGCAGAGACCACAGAGGAACTCTTGTGTACTGGCTTGCTTCCCCTGGCTTGCTCACCTACCTGTCCTATACATCCCGGGCCCATCCGCCTAGAGATGGTACCACTCACAGTGGGCTAGGCTCTCCTATATCACTTAGTAACCAACCAAATGGCCCCGGAGACAGGCCCACAGGCCAATCTGATGGAGGAAATTCCCCAATTGGAATTCCCTCTTCCCAGATGACTCTAGGTTTATGTCAAGTTGGCAGCTGAAGCTGACTGTGACAGCAATATAGCAAAATCCTCAGCTTAAAATAAAAAGTGGAAGGGGTGCTGGGTTCCCTAAATTCAGTTCCCTAGTACAGAGAGAGAGAGAGAGAGAGAGAGAGAGAGAGAGAAATACTATATTAATAAGAACCAAACTATTCAAAAACAAAAACAAATGTTATTAGAGATAAAGAATTATTACAATGTTAATTTATCATGATGTGTTGAGATCTAATAAAAGAACTTCAAACTGCATGAAGCAAAATTTAATTAAATTAAAGGGATATATAGACTGTTTCACAGTCATTAATGGAAGTTTTGATACTTCTTTCTCAGAATTGAATCAAATAGTTAGAACTAATTAGATATAGACTATATATCAATTATAGTCATCTAAGAGATATTTATTAGACAGCCTCAATGTACAGAATACATATTCTTTTCAAGTGCCTTTAGTACATTTCTCAAGGTTGACTATGTGCTGGATCATAAAACAAATCTCAATATATTAAAGAAGGTATAGGGGTTGGCAAGATGGTTCAACAGGTGAAGACACTTGCTCCCAAGCCTGACAGCCTGACTTCAAGCTCTGGGACCCACATAAGAGAAGGAGAGAACTGACACCCACAACTTGTTTTCTGACCTCCACACACATGCCATACTATACATGCATGCATATATATATATATCACAATTATATATATATATATAATTGTATCTATCAGGTTACTATTTATTATCTGTCTCACTGCTTGCTGTTCTTGCCCCTCTTGCCTTCTTTTGAGCTAACAAATATATATTTTTCATTATTTAGAGAATACTTCATAAGTTTCTTTAATAAAATCTACATAGATAAGACCTTATTAAAGATAAGACCTTATTAAAGATAAGGCCATATTAAATATGGTGTGGTCCTTATATACAAATGGAAAAAATAAGTTTATTATATATATCATACATTTTTTAAAGTTAAAATACCAATTTTATATAAAGACCTCTCACACTTCCATTTCTTTCTAAATAATTTAATTATTATTATTTCGTTTTATGTGTGTGAATGTATTGCCTGCATGTAGGTAGATGCACCCATTTCATGCAATTCCCACAGAGGTCAGGAGAGAGCATTGGATCCCCTGGAACTGGAATTATGGACAATTGTTATATGGGTGCTGGGAATCGAAACTGGGTCCTCTGCAAGAGCAGCCAGTGCTCTTAACTGCTGAACCATCTCTCCAGCCCACATTTTCATCTCTTAATTGGAAAAAAAATTGAAATTTTACTGGTGTGACTGATCTCAGACTCTTGGTCATAATTTTATGCATTTTGACATAGAGGGAAATATGCATTAGTTTTCATTTTGGTTTTGTTTTGTTTTGTTTTTGGTTTTTTTTTGTGGGGGGTTAGGTTTTTTGGTTCTTTTGAGACAATGTCCCCCTGTAGCCCTAGGCTGGTCTGGAACTTGCTATGTAGACCAGGGTGGCCTCCATCTCACAGAGATTCACCTGCTTCTGTCTCCTGAGTGCTGGAATTAAAAGCACGCACCATAATTCCAGGACTTTTTTACTTTGGGGGGCAGGGGGCATTAGTAATTTATATTTAAAGAAAAATAATTTTCTTTCATATTGGTCAGTCTACTTGAAATTGTGCCTCTCGGTGAAACAGAAGTAAGGACTATGACTGCCACTGGAGGTACAGAGCTTGTTCTTCCAAAGTTCGCAATGGTTCTTTTGCTACCTTTGCCCTTGTCTTGCCCTCCCTCCTTCCTCTAGCGACTTATTTCAAATGCTTAAGAAAGACTTCCTCATCTTTCCCACCACCAATCTACACACTGACCTGCATCTAAGTCATCTCAACGCTTTCCCTTATTACAGCGGAGGACAATTCTCTTCCTACCAAAGTTCAGCTCCTCCACTGTCTTCTGGATCCTATTATTTCTCTTTTCAGAGATTTTCTCGTTTATTTAGTTAATACCAATCTTAAAGATGGAACAAGCAAGAATTCTGGCAAAAATCAAAATCTAGATTATCTGATTTTCATATAATCACTAACTTTGAAATTCCAGTGGATTGACCAGGCTCCAGTGGATGAACCCACACTGAAGGCATTTAGGGACAGAAATTTGATTCTATAGGCCTTAATATTATAGTATATGAAGTTGGGTTGTGGGTAGTAAGGGAGGGTGAAGATAGAAGAGATGATCTAAAAACGATCAAAATATATTATAGGAAGTTCACAAAAAATTCAATAAAAAAGCTGTTAAAGCAGTGGGTCCCTCTGGTGAATCTGGATTTGTGGTCCCCTCTATGACTTAGAAGCTGTGGACCCCTCCTTTGAGCTAGAGCTGTGGTCTCCTGAAAGCTGCAGATGTGGTCCTCTCCTGTGAGCTGGAACTGTGGTCCCCTTGTGTGAACCTGGAACTGTGGTCCCTTCATGTGACCCTGAAGCTTTGGACCTCTACCATGAGCCACGATTTCATATCCCTGTGATTGTCGGGTCATGGTGGAGTAGAGTAGAGCATGGAGGACTTCCTGATGTTGGGCAGCAGTTTCAGTCTTCTCTGAGTGGCTACATTCCCCATAGCCCCCTACCCTGAGGTCCTAGGTTGTGTATGGCAGAGGCTTTGCCTCTTATGCTGGGGACAGGGGAAGTTTTTGTTATTTGCAGATTCTGGTCCTCTCTTCACACGTGGTCTGGGGTATCCAGACCTTGATGTTGAACGTCTCCTGTTACTAGGCACCTAGAGGTTTTCCACTATTTTTCTATTACTCTTCTACAGCCCCACTGTGCCTTCATCTATGCCTAATTGAACTTCTAGAGATAAAAATTAGTCTGGAAAGTTAAAAAAAAAAAGAATTAGAAAGTCTTGTAATAACTAAGGTGATATAATCCTCAAACTAGAAATGTGTAATTATATCTTAGACTATAAATTCAAAATTTTATATTTCTACTATAATTTTTGAATACTGTTTATTGCCAAGTTTGAAAAATTGTGTGAAATTTGTCACTGTTCCTATAATGTGAGTTTGCTATTCATTCCCTTTCCAAATTCTCCAACCTATACAAAGTCTATCAGTATAATAATATTACTTCCCAAAAAAAGCAATGCTAATAAAATATTTTTGAATAAAAAAGCTATTAAACAAAAAACAAACAAAAGATTTTCAAACTCAGCTTACTCATGATTCCTATTTTATATTTTTCTTATCTTATTGGATTAGCTAGGATTTCCAGTTGAAAAGCTGTGGTCAGATTTTAGTAGTAAAATCTTGTTTTTTCACCATTATTTATGATGTTAATTGTGGGAACTTAATAGATACTATTTTTCTAATGAAGAAAAGACCTTTGTTGTATTATTTACTTCTCTGTAGCTATGATAAAACACCATGAACAAGACAAATTAGACCCAGGTTCAAATTCCAGCATCTACATGGCAGCTAACAACTGCCTGTAACTCCAGTTCCAGGGGATCTGAAAGCCTCTTCTGTCCTCTGTGGGCATTGCATGACACGGGTGCACTTACCCACATGCAGGCAATACACTCATACACATAAAATAAAAAAATAATAGATAAAATAAAAAAAAATAGGTGACAAAATCAGGTGACTCATAAATGGGAAGTCACTGATTAGCATCTTAAAAGCATAATTTTCAAGATGTTGATGTTCTAGTGGTGTTATAAGTTCTAATTTTCTGTCTTGAAGTCATTAGGGGCCAGTTTTATCTATGGTTAACTGATTATCATGCAGAATAAGACTGTTGAATAGAGAACTTCAACTCTACTTGAATATATAAAACAATTGTACTCATTCTTACTTAATATTTTCTAGATTCAAGTTGTTCATGTGTAGAAGAGACTCAAAGGACATCAAATTATTCAAGATCTCTTACAGAAGGTATATTCTTCCTTACCTAGTGGTCAACACTGAGGGATGGAGAGTTGACCTTGGTTAGGAAGAATAGCTGATGCCTGGCTGTTGGAGAGACTTAGGAAGACTGGAGGAATCTGGTGATCTTGGTGCTATGGTGTAAAAACATAACCACATGGCTAATTACTGCATTTTAATTCCTAAGGAGTATTTGATTTAGAATAATGCATTTATCATTTAATTTAAAACTGTTTTCTTTTCTATTTCTAAATATTAAAATGCCTATCTTAATTTCACGATACTTCAAAGTATATATTGCTTCCTTAGTAATACATAAAACCAGAATAAATAGATACTATTTGAATTTGTATTCATACATTATCTATTTTTGTGAGTACATTTTCTTACATTAATATTCCTGGACTATATTCACTAGCCAAGCAGTGCTATAGTATGACTTCTATAACCTGTTGTGCATAGACTTAACATACATGGTTTCCTTTTCCCGTTTTCTTCTTGTTTGTCAGTTAACACTACAGTGTCAGTACGGATGGGTACACAGGCTCTACTCTGCTGCGCTCCTATCCCAACCAGAGAAGCAGTATTAGTAACATGGAAATTAAACACCAGAGGACAGCCTTCCTGCAGCATAGCCTACAGTGTAGGCACAAAGGAGATCAATAAAACCAACTGCACTGACGGGAGAATAACCTGGGCCTTCACCCCTGACCAGAGTCCTCACCTTCTGATCAGTACTGTGGCCATCACTCATGATGGGCGTTACACGTGTGAAATGGCATCATCTGATGGGAATTTCCATAGAGACCATGATCTCCAAGTGTTAGGTAAGGACGTCACATGCTGTGGTATTTCAGCTCACTGTGTTTATGATTGAAATCAAAAGCTCTGTAATTTGATCCTTGTGACAAGACTGAATCTTTGTCTTTTTTTTTTTTTTTTTTTTTTTTTTTCAAAAAAAATGGGGAAAAAAAGGGGGGGTTAGTTTTTTAAAAAAAAAAAAAAAAATCTTGTTCATGGCCATCGCGGCTTGTCTCTAATTTTTTTTTTGTTTTTTTTTTTTTTTTTTTTTTATTGGAGGGACTTGTTGGATCCAGGCAGGCTAGTCAGGTGCTATGCCACTGGACAATGTATCTCTTCTGACCTGCTCTGTCTCTCATTTGACTGGCAACAAGACTATACACCCAGGTTTCAATCAAGGTGACTACCTTAAATTAATTTTTTACCTTTTTCCTTTCCTTTCCCCTTTCCCCTCCTTCCCTTCCTCCCCTCCCCTCCCCTTCCCTTTTTCTCTCTCTTTCTCTCCTTCTCTTTTCCTTGATGTTGTTTTGTGCCCCCTACCCCCAGCAAGTGTGTAGAGGTCAGAGGACAACTTGTGGGGGTTGTTCTCTCCTTCTACCACATGGAATCCTAGGACAGAGCTCTGGTGGTCAAGCTTGGCAGCAAACATTTTTACTTGTTGAATCATTATGCTGGCCTGAGTACCTCTCTGTCTCCCTGTCTCTGTCTCTCTGTCTTTCTCTGTCTCTGTCTTTCTTATTCTCTGTAGCTATGACTAGCCTCAAGCTCATGCTCCTCCTGAGTACTGGGATTATGGAAGATTTCTCTATTTCAGAAAAAGGAACTGATGTTTAATTTAATCTTCAGTAGACGATAAATAACCCAACACAGAAAAGAGCATTTGAGCCCCTTACTGGGAAATTTCTCTAATGCTAGGAAATGCATTGTTGTGCTAGAGAAATACTTCACACATTTTGCCAAATAGAAAGAACTGTCAGTATGAATCATTTCTTACTACTGCTTTTCTAAATGCCTTTTATTAGGACCACCATAAAATGTTCTCATATTTTAGTGATTTGTTGACTTTTACTTTGAGATTATTGGTAACATACATTAGTATATTTATAATGTTTTATACTCAATAGACAACCAAGCATTTATTCTCTTTCTTATTTTCCTGTTTCTTGTGATTGTCCAAAGTAAGGAACAGGCTTTCTTGCTCACTTCATCGTGTCTCCTGAAACCAGAGCCCCAATTCCTTTACCAATATTTACTGGAAGCTATTTTGAAGTTTGAAGCTGGAGATACAATGATAGCAATGTTCAGATCCCCAGATTCCTACTGCATTCAGGAGTACAACCTGGAGCAAAGGTGAAAAGCCTTTGGCATAACATGGCTCCTCATTCACCAGCTGTGTGATGGTTCACTCTTGTCAACTTGACACAAACTGGAGTCATTTGAGAAGAGGGAATCTCAATTGAGGAACTTCCTCCATCAGACTGGCCAGTGGGTATGTCTGTGGGGCATTAATATAGGAGGGCACAGCCTGGAAAAACAGCTGAGCAAGCCAGGGGACGGACACAAGCCAGTAACCAGCATCCTTCCATGGCCTGCTTCAGTTTCTGCCTCTCACTTCCTGCCTTAACTTTCTGCCCTGACTTCTCTCAGTGACCAACTGTTATCTGGAAGTATAAGATAGAATAAACCCTTTCCACTCCAAGAGTTTTGTCACAGCAACAGAAAGCAAACTAGAACAAGCTGTATAAATTTGAATACTATTCAGCATAATCTAATTTATTGGGTAACTTCCCAGCCTCTTCCCCTTCCTTTTCCCTTCCTCTTTTTGTAGGGAACAGACTTATTTTGTACACTGCAAAGAGAGCAAGTGGGCATGTTAGTAACAGAAGAATTGTCTGCCTCATTGTTTTCTTGAAGATAGCCCTTCTTTTCTTTTGATACAAGAAAGGAACTGACCCTACTTACTCTCTGAAAGTTCTAAACACATTTGATTCTTTCTTTTTAAAAAAATTATTCTTTCACAATTCATATGTGTAT